CTACTATATTTTTAGTAGTAGAACCTCGGGGAAAACAGAACGCCCTTAAATTCTCTCCTAAACTTAACTTAGCAACATATGATTGAAGATTCAATGAATATTTGGACAAGATTAAAGTCTAGTTTATAAATTCATTATCGTCTCATGAATCTTAACCTACAACATATTGCATCTTTGCTTTGTATAACGACAATAAAACGCCAAAAAAATTGTAGATTCTAATGAATTTTTTGTTCAAATACGTAGAAGGATTACTTATTGTCTTACTGAAAAGTGAAAAGCTCCTAAGGAGCCAATCACAAAAAAAAATTTTAGTCATGACGTAAATTAAACAAATGTTAACAACGGAAACTTAGTCACTTAAACGTTGTAGAAAGAAAGGTGAATTTTTGCATGGAATAATCAACTAGTCTTAAGTGTAGGACTCGTAATATGAAAGCTTTCAGTGTAAAATGCTTTGATAACGATGTAAAGCCTTTGATCGTTTGAAACTTGTTAAATCTTTCAAACTTAACCAACTAAAGCTATTTGTGCAATGATGGTGAATGTTCTACCATTTGGATAGTCAAACAGAAAACATATAACAGTTTGCTCATTCTCAATATATCTGATTAAGAATTTAAAAACGGAAAGTAACGTCATATGACGAGTTCTTCATCACGAAATGTCGTACATGTGTTTCATATTTTCTTATATTGTAGATCCCACATGGATGGAGTTGTGAAAGTCCCTTTACCACCTGTGTCATTCAATTCAATTACTCTTAGTAGTTTGTCAGTACTCATGTGTCATGGTGATTCATGGCCAAGAATGTTCATTTGTAGTTTGGATTTTTTGTGGATGTCAGTTGTTTGTTCATATAATGATGATGGGCCCCATTGTTATATGAGCCCACCTAAAGGTGGTCAGCTGACATTCATAGGAGATCAAATCTGCACTAAGCATTCTTTGAGTGATGATATAACTGGGGTATTGAAGTGATCCCTTTACTTTCACTTGAAGTTACCATAAAAGTGCATCGTAAACAGTAATCTATCGAATTGGTGATTCATAATACCAGTAGCCCCTTTATTGGTTACGTCGATTACTTTGTGTCTGGAATGGTATAAACGTATTGAATGGACATTGCATAACGGCATTTGTACGTGTGAACATTAACGTTGAAATGATTGGACCATAATCTACGAAGATGGAAAACAAGCGAGTGGAAAAACATGATCCATGTCTTGTGGCTTGTAAGTTGAGTAGATTAGCTTTAAAATTAACTTATAGCTATGAGTAACTGCATGAGATATTCAAAAAGGATCCCGATTGTCTATTTTTATAATTTGAACTATAATCATGAAAAACACCCATATTAGCTAAAATAATGTGAATAAAAGATATCAACTGCTGTGAGAAAATAGCTGGCTTTCACTCGTTACTTTTTACTAATTTTATTAAACGTTTATAAACAAAATTGCAATGCTGCAAGTAGGGTTCATTGAATTTTTAAGATAAAAATGTTACGACATACACGTTACGATATACACGTAAAAACTGCGCTGTGACAAAAGTGGAAGAGACCTACTAAGACGCCTGCATCAGGCGGACCAGGAAAATGCTTGAAAATCAGGCATTAAAGTTTTTTTGTTTGCAAAATATATAATTTCTGATTTTATTCATTCATTATGCTGACATTTATAATGTGTTTTTTTATAGAGTAGCTATGTCTGTAGACGTAATAACTAGACATTGAATGAACGATCTAGTTGGACAGAAGCACGAAGAAACAAGCGTCCTTATTGAAAGATTCCCACTTGCGACTTTCGTTATGCATACTATTAATCAGTATAACGCATTTTTAAATTAAACCGTTAAAAATTTCCGTAAAACTAAATTTTCACAATTGTCAAATTTTCGGACAAAACACACGAGTGAAAGCCAGCTATTAATGAAGGTCTTAATAAAGCAACATAGAAGTTTTGATCGAATGAAATCTAGTAGACATCAAATATAATTTGTATGCAAGTCACAACGTCACTTCGGTCATTTCATTTTTCATTTTTTGTTGGTCGGTGAATGATCAGGTCGAACGTACTGAATGAATTTTTCATATGGTTTTTGTATGAGCTGCTATTAGTTTTTATTTTTTGTCTAATCATTAAAATTTTTGTTAACACTCTGCACTCTTTCATTTTTTGTTCTCTACTAAAGTTTTCGTTTCTTTTGTTCAAACACAAAATATTTGCGGTGTCAATAAATAGGGTAGTCATCCCACTTTTTTTGTCGACGCTTTTTTTTCGCAAATTTAATATACGAACGACGAAGCTACGATCTGACTACGCTGCATGTTAAAGTAGATCATCGGGATCATTGAAAACAACAAAAATTTAAAGAAATTTTTCTAAATTTTGATCTTTTTATTGATTGGAGGGTTTTTTTACCGGATCCACCGGTTTTCCCTCATATTTCGTTTTGTTTTAAAAAAAAACAGTGTCCACATTTGGGGCCAAGCGAAGTTATTTGTCATAACATTATTTATTGTAGCTATCATTAATATTCACGTTTATTTTTTATTTCTCGGCCTTTGGGTATATTTCCCAAAACACTGCGTCTAATAAATATAATGGCATACATTTTGAAAAAAATATGTACACAAGTTTTGTGCTCAGTCAGATCTTCTAAGACAAATTTTTTTAATCTTCGGCATCAACCGACTCAGCGAGAAAATAAAAATGATTTTATACAGTATGGAAGTGTGATTTGCGTACATAATGAAAATTCCATGATTCTTTCATTTCACTAAGGAGTCCTTTTTACTTAAAATATTGCTTTAAACATGAGCAATGTGACGAATTTTTACATTACTCACGGTAATACGCTTAGCACAATAATATTAGCACACACCATTCGACAATTTTCTCCTCTACCATGAAGTGAGATGTTTTATGCCTGTACAAAATACATTCCCAATGATATAGAGAGAAATGATAACACCAAATACACAGAGATTAATCTTGATAGTAGATTGTTTGAGATTGAGATTTTTAAACAACAATGTTCTTCTCAACGTCACTGTACATCTGAGACTAGCATTATCTTAATGACTATTTTCATTGCATCCTTTACTGTTGTATCGACAGTGTTCTTTCTCATAGCTAAGTAATTATAATGCGTGCAGTTGATGTTTGAAATGTATTCGTTAGTTAAATTGGTTTATTAAATAACAAAGTTTCTTTATAATATGAAGTGACTTGTGCAATAATATACATGTATGGGATTTTGATTAAAACAGTAAAAAAATCCGTTTACAGCTTCCAAAATCGTGTCATTACATTAACATTTAAATCTTGCCTTAGATCAGTGATCATCTATTCCTAAGTTAAAACTTGTGAAACTTTATAAGATATTGCAGTAGTCCTTTGGAATTTGACTAATCTCAATGTTATTATGTACTCAGCATGAGGTTCTTATTTATGTATTTTTATTTCTATAACAATTGTTTTAGTCAGTGATGTATACTTAGTTATATAACTAGAATGTTCGACATAGATGTCATTAATGTTTTATAATACTGTTGTCAAAAGAGATCCTGACTCACTCTTTATCTTCTTTCGTTATTTAAATGTGTTTATGTAACAAAACTTACATGGATAAAAGATTGATGTTACAATAAGGTATGAATTACGATCACCATTTTCAACTGATATGTATGTGGTCGCGTTGTTTATATTAAATCTCTAATCCGTTTGTTGAGTATGTGACATGTAAAGAACTAAAGCAAGCATAATTTTTTTCACACAATCGTCTTACTTCTAAAACGGAAGTAATTTTAGTAAAATTAAGCAAAATTTTAGAACTACATTACCGACATAACAAGTTAGCTAAAGCAGCATCTCGATAAAGTATGAATAAGCATGCATGAGAAATCATATCTAAATTGATATACCAACTTCCTAACTATTGACAATAAGCTGCATGGTAAAGGAAAGCAAAACACTTTCAAAGGCATGGGAGAGGTGAAATAACATACTTTTCTACAGAAAAAAATGGGAATCTGTGAAAATTTATGTAGAAAGGATAGCATGTCCAATCATGCATCACCTTCCTTTTTTTACCGGCGCCACATTTTAGTAATCTCTGTGTGTCTAACAAAATGTTGTTAAATGTATTGAGCAAACCATTCATTTTAAAAGTAAGAAGATTTGTAAAATAAGCAAATGTTGAACACAGGAAAAATGTATTTACATTGAGAAAGACGCAACCGAATCTATTTTTGTGAAATGTCACATGTTTGCTTAACAGTTTTAAGGTTTACTTTCTTTTCAACCTTTACTGCTGTATCTACAGTGTCTTTATTGGTCAGTAATTATATTTGCGTGCAGTTGATGTTTGTCATGTATTTATAATTTGCAATGGTTTATTTAATATCAAAGGTTTTTTATAATAAGAACTGACTTATGCCAGAATATACATGTTTGGAATTTTTGATTAATGAAGGGGGGGAAAATCCATTCAGAGTTTCGAAAATCGTTTCTTAATCATTGGCATTCAAATCCTGTCTTAGATAGTTTATTCTCTATTCCTGAGTTAAAACTTGTGAAACTTTATAACGTTTAACAGTACTCATTTCGAATTTGAATAATCTCAATGTTAAATATGTTCTCTTCATGATATTCTTTTTTATGTACTTTTATTTTATAACAATTGTTTTTAGTCAGTGATGTATACTTAGTTATTTATAACTAGAATGTTCTACATAGATGTCATTAATGGTTTATAATACGGTTTGTTAAAGGAGATCCTGACTCACTTTTCATCTTCTTTCGTTATTTAAATGTGTTTATGTAACAAAACTTATATGGATAAAAAGTTGATTTTTCATTAATGTATGAATTATTATCACCATTTTTTAACTGATATGTATGTGCTCGCGTTTTTTATATTAAATTTCTCATCTTTTGTTAGGTACGTAACATGTAAAGAACTAAAGCAAGCATAATTTTGTCCACACAATCGTCGTATTTCTAAAACAAAGGTAATTTTACGTAAGTTAACCGAGATTTTGTATTTACATTTCTAACTTAACAAATTTGATACCGAAGCATTGCGTAGTATGAAGTATGTACTATAAACAAATCAATGTTTATTTCCATTTCAAATGAAAATCGTTTGAATGATTCTATAAGTGACTTTTGAAGCTATATTTAATACCACGACTGGAAAGTAGGCTTCATTTTTTGTTTCAAATTATCCACTACAAAAATTGCGGCTCTTTCACGAAGAAAAGTTTTGATAATAAATAATTCTGAGTCAGTGATGCGCTTGACATTCACAGATGCCATGTCACATTAAGTATTATAGAGACTACCGGTTCTGGCGCACTTCATTTTCTGGCAAGCTGCATACACAAATCTAAGCGCCCCAGCCCTAGTTCGCATACGTGGTTCACATACATAGTAAGTACACAGTAAGCACATAGGTCGGCACAAAAATCGCAATGGATAACGCAATGACCAAATTCAGGACAACGGCAGGAGCCAAAGACGGGCGCTGACCCCCAGTGCCCGCGCAGGCGGCCGTCGTGGGTCTATTATTTATTTAGACATAAATTCTCACATATTGTATATCCAAACATTCGAAAGCCATAAGGCAGAGCAAGAGCAAGTGTGCGTGGTTATTATCTGGAAAGCTCACCACATGTGGACGAAGCTTCATGGGTGGATACGGCGGATTTTATATGAGGTGGCTAAGGGAAGGCAAGCGACTTCCACAACCATGTCGTAAGTGCGAGGTCATAACACAAGCAGAAAGTATCCTTTGTAAAGCCTGCAGTGCGAATAGGGTGCAGCTCATGCTTGTTTTTAAACAGAAACAAGCAACAAAAAGGTTTGCTAGCGTACTCGCCAAATTAATTTCGGCATTTAGAATTGATTTCGACTTTTAGAATTAATTTTGATATAGAAAAATATCTCCCCTAATGCATAACAACGAGATTTGCGACACTCGAGATGGATACTGTTAATAAACTTCTGAAACTATATGACCAAGGTGTAATCAGTGGACACGCGCTGAACACCTCTCTTAAGGCTCTTCAAGCGCCCGCTGCTTTAACACCCACTGGGGGACAACGTCGTAGACTTAGCTGCATGGGTGAATACTGAGGATTTCATACCTGCGGTGAGATAAGGGTGCCAGCATATGCTCAGCGGCGTCGTTCCTAGCCGTCCGAGAGCTCGCAAGACCGTGAATCTCTTCCTCGTCTCGGATTCGAAAAACCCCGAGAAACACCACTACACTTGGATCAAGGACTTCAACCGCCTTCTCAACCGGTAATCGAAGGATACCCACTGGCTGCACTTCTGTGAGGGTTGCCTTCACGGCTTCACCAGACAGGATTTGCTGGAAGAGCATAAGCCTGAATGTCGAGGCATCAACCAGGCCGCGGTTGCCATCAGAATCCCAACCCCCGGAAAAAATGACAAAATCACCTTTGAGAACTACCACAAGAAGCACAAAGCACACTTAATAATCTACGACGACTTCGAGAGTCTGGTCTGCAAAAGCGAGGCAAACCCAGCAAACCTCCAGGCACGAGGCATGCGGCTACTCGTACAAAGTCGTCCGTTCCGACGGGGAAACACAGCCGCCGCTGCTCTACCGACGGCCTGACGCGGCCAAGCATTTCCTGCATGCGCTCCAAGAAGAAGAGCGTAAGATTAATACGGTGTTGGCTAACCCATAGCCTATGCTCATGATCTACCCCTATGATTATATGGACGGCTGGTCCAGCTTCGACGAGGGTTCCCTCCCGCCGAAGGAGGCTTTTTACAGCAAACTGTCCGTTAAAGGCATTACCGATGACGACTATGCCCACGGAAAAAACGTCTACGACGCCATCGGCTGCACAACCCTTGGCGACTACCATGACCTCTACCTTCGGACTGATGTTCTCCTCCTCACCGACGTCTTCGAGAACTTCCGAAAACTGTGCCTCGAGCAATACAAGCTAGACCCGGCCCCTTATTTTACGAGCCCGGGTCTGAGCTGGGACGCTCTCCTTAAGCACACGGGGGGGGGGAGCTCGAGCTGCTCACTGACGTAGATATGCATCTCCTCATTAAGAAGGGCCTGCGCGGCGGCATCAGCATGGCCAGCAGTCGCTTTACCAAAGCCAACAACCCTAAGGTGCCAGACTACGATCCACGGAAGCCAAAAAGAAGGATCCAGTACTACAACACCATCAACCTGTACGGCTGGGCAATGTCGCAGTCACTACCGACAAGCGCGTTTGAGTGGGTCGACCAAGATGATGTAGAGAAGGGCTACATTCTTGAAGTCGATCTGGAGTACCCAGAAGAGCTGCATGACGAGCACAATGCATATCCGTTGGCGCCAGAACGCTTGAAGGTCGACAACACGAGACCGAGAGACTCCCCAAACTTATTGCCAAGCCGACATTCAATCGGCATCTCATCTTTGGCGATGCGGTAGACCTCGCAGACGTTCACACGAATAAAAGCAGTCTGCTGCTCAAACGGCCTGTCTTCGTGGGCATGAGCATTCTCGAACTCTCGAAGCATCTGATGTACGACTAGTACTACAACCATCTCAAAGTGCAGTATGGGTCGTCAGCAGAGCTCCTCTACACCGACACCGACAGCCTTGTGCTGGAGATCCAAAGTGAGGATGTGTGCGCTGACATGAGACGCAACGCCGGTCAATACGACACCAGCAACTATCCCAAAGACCATCCCCTGATCAGCACAGCCATCAAGAAGGTGTTGGGGAAAGTGAAAGACAAGTGCGCCGGGGCGCCTTTCGCTGAGTTTGTGGGACTCAGGCCCAAGATGTACTCTATCCTGAAAGCAGAAGGTGTTAAAAAGGCCAAAGGTGTTAAAAAGCGTGACTAGACCCCATCGACTAAGCTGGCGGTGTTTCGTTACCAAGGACCACCACTTGGAGCTCCTCGCGCACAAACGTGCGCTTGGGCCAATTGCTCAAATAATACAACATGGGCTTCCCGCCCTCAACTACAGCCCGCTCGACCTCGTGGGAGGTCACACTCCAGATAGGATCGGTCGCCCTAAGCCGTTCGCCACACTCGAGGTCGCCAGGCGCATAAAAATACCGCACAATAACATCTGATGGCAAGCGTCGCTCTTTGAAAGCAACTATTCTTCCGAATCGCAAGGTAGGGCTTTTCGCCCGTCAAACGACAAGTTTCATTATTGAGCGCTTTAACCACCACAGGTAATCTTGATACCCATTCTTTGTTCCAAGTTTCGAGCTCAGCCCGCTTGCGATGATACTGGTAACCGAACAATCGCTCCGCTAAAGTTAGATTAAATCTTTCTACGATCCCCTGATCTCTATGAGCCTCGACCTTACCACGTCGAATCGTGACACCATTTTTATCACACGCTTTTTGCACAACCCCGCGGAACTCCGAGCCATGGTTGACTTGTAAAACTTTAGGCCATCGAAGAGGCCCACGGGCATAAAAAGACTCTAACGCCTTCCCAACCTGGGTCGCTGTCTTGTCTGTGATTGCCTGAGCCTCCTTATACCGACTTGCTATGTCGACCATCGTCAATGCGTATTTGAATGTGCGTCTTCCGACTAAATCGTTAGACAGATACAAGATATCGGTCTGGTGGAAATCATTCAGGGTGCTGATGTCAAACATAGGTCGGGGGATAGCACTTCGCGCGGGTGCTGGCAATTAGATCTGCCAGATGGCCTGTTTTGTTAGCCATTCATGAGCCACATCCTCTCCGAAAACAGCCTCTTTAGCCAGCTTCGGGATAGCAGCACGGCCGCGCCAGTACCCCGCAGGACTGTAGTACGCCTCTGCGTGACGTTCCTCAACACTTCGTCCGTCCATTTGGTAGAAACGCGACCATGCTTTGTCGGGACGACGGCTTTGACACTACGTGTCTTAGGCGGCTTCTCTTCAGCTTCGAAATCATCAAAACCACCGCCAGTTGTCAGAGGCACAAAATCGAGCACCTTCTGATCATTAGCTAGAGTGTCTTCGCCGAACATTCCCCTTAATCTTTTTAAAAGCCCCTCTCCAAAACCCTCTTCTATAAACAGCCGCCCCGCCAGAAAAGCATGGCGCAAGCAAACAGCCGTTGCTCGACTCTGCACTGCAAGCGTATTCGTAACCATGACCCGCTCGGGAAAGGCCTCCAGAAAATATTTGCGCAGCTCGGGCTCTGTATATGCTTCCTCTAATTTAGCGAGCGCACGTCCAAAGCTATCGAAGACAAGCACATGTGTTCCAGTACAACAAACAGTTAGGCAGTGATGCCCCTCTTCGACCGGATTATGGAGAGGGTAGATGTTGTCCGTGTTGCTGATGCAAAACCGCCCATCGTGGAGATGTGGTAGGCTGTCGTAGCTACAGACCCCAACACGAACCGTCCTCGGGCTCGCTCGGCCTTCAGGAGACGTTCGATGTCAACGCTAGAGAGCGGGTAATCCATTCCTTATACTGAGCACAGGGGGAGGCTGTTGGTAGCCGCCACCAGGATGGCCCCTTACGCAAAGAATGCCGCTATCCCTTTCACCCTCGGTGCATTCAGCTCGCTGTGGGACAACGTCGTTGACAGTATTTTCGGCGCGGGTATTCTTAACGGCAACATGTCTCACCCCTCCGACGACTACCACGTGGAATATGTGCCATCCCGCGAGCAGACGACGGGCGGTGCAAAAAGATTGAGGCTGGAAAGACTCGCTAGACGACGGGAAACAGTTCGAAGAACACACGCAGCGCCAAGGTCGACAACAAGACGGAAGACGGGGGCGTCGAAGTGCGCAGCGCCTAGAAGAACAGCAGGGACATGACGGAAGACCACGGGGCGAGCGAAGAATAGTGGTTTGGATGAATTCAAGAGTATGCTCCTGGATGCTGCAAAGAACACGGGCAAGAGAGCAGCGAATCGCGCAAAATCGAGGGCCTTTTTCATGTTGAAATCGTCAGCCACAAGTTTAGCACCCAATGTCCTTGCTTTGGCGCCCGCGGCAGCTTCATGTTTCCATC